CAATCTCTCTTCGTAGCTGAAATGCTCCACCTCAAGCAACGTCCTGGTGAATCTTCCTGCACCACAGTGTAATCATGTCCTTCCTGTAGTACAGTGACCAAACTGCACAGCGTACTGCAGCTCTGGCCTAACCAAAGTTTTGCAAAACTTGAATGTCAGAACTAAAGTAAAATAAAGCACTGTGGATGCTGGGGATCTGAAATTAAAACAGAATGTGCCATCGAAGCTCAGGAGGTCTGCGAGCATCCATGGGGAGAAAAATAGAGTTAATGTTTTGAGTCCAGTGACCCTATGTCAGAACTGCAGCTCTGGTATTTTCTGTTTTTTGTTCCAAAAATATCACCCTGCATTAATGTCTGTGCTGCAAGGCAGGTGTCCTGTATACCTCCTTGATCTCCCTAATAACCTGCTCTTCTTCCTTCAGGGTTCTGTTTAAGATCCCTCTGTTCTTTTGAGCTTCCTAGTTTCCTGCCATTTATTGAGTACTCCCTTGTCTTGTTTCTTCCAAAGTGCATCACCTCTCATCTTTCAGGGTTAAATTCCATCTGTCCATTTGACCAACTTTTCAAAATCATCTGGTAACCAGAACCTTCTATCTCACTATTAACCACCAGCCAATTGCGTTGTTATCCCCGAACTTACTTATCACCCTAGCACCACCACCCCCCTAAAAATTCTCATTTGTTTCATTTCTATACATCAGGAGTAGTAAGCTTCCAGCACTGATTCCTGTGGTACGCCACAGGACAGTGTCCTCCAGCACTCAAAACAGCTTTCTACCACCATCCTCTGTCTCCCACCACAGAGCCAATTTTACTTCGTTAATTGGTTGTCAGCATATTCGGGATTATGCAGTAGATGTTATCTAATTACAGAATCACCTCCACTGTTCACTTTTTTGCAACTTCTGAAAGTGTGGGTTGGTTGGGTACAGCCAGTACCTTGCTTTTTGCAAATAGCTGAAAGGATATTTCAATCAGACACCCCTCTCATCCTTCTACACATTTTTTTAATTCATTCGCGGGATGAGGACATCGCCGGCCAGGCAGCATTTATTGCCCAGAAGGCAGTAAAGAGTCAACCACATTGCTGTGGGTCTGGAGTCACGTGTAGGCCAGACCAGGTAAGGATGGCAGTTTCTGAAGAAGGGACCCGACCTGAAATGTCAACTTTCCTGCTCCTCTGATGCTGCTTGGCCTGCTGCGCTCCTCCAGCTCCACACTGTGTTATCGCTGACTCCAGCATCGGCAGTTCTTAGTATCTCTGAGCTGAAAGGATATGCTGTTTTATGTGGTCCGCCAGTTTTTGGGGCATACATCCTACGCATCTGGCATCACATCAGCACTGAAATTCATCTACCACATTACTGATTGGTGTGATAAGTAGCACATTTTTTGTTTTGGCTTGACAGCAGAGCATCACTCATGTTGGTACTGCATAGTAGCAGCATAAAACAGCCTGCTTCACCTGTTGCTCAAACTTGAGGTACATTACCATTCCAGAGATGAACTGAGCGCTTTTCAAGACCACAAAATCTAAAAAAATTCATGATTTTTTTTAACACTCCCTATCAAATCTCTGCTGCTTTACAGTGAAAGACTCCAACTTTCCACATCACTGAAGTTTCTTATCCCTGCTGCCTTTTTGGAAATATTCTTCTGCATCTTTTCTAAGGCCTTAACATCTTTCCCAAAATGTGCTGTCCGGAATTGGACTATGGACTAACCAGTGATTTTGAAGAGTTTAGCATAGCTTCCTTGCTTTTGCATTCTATTCCTCTGTATTTGAGTTGTGTGGCTTAGTTGATTGCCTCCGAATTATGAGGTTCTGGGTTCAAGAATCACCCCAAGATTTGAACACAAAGATCAAAACTGATACTGCAGTGCAGGAGAGGAAGAATTACATTTTCGTAATCACTGTCTTTTGGAAGAGACATCAGACCCTTGTCTTGCCGGCTCGAGTGAATGTGTAAGATTCCGTGACAACACTTAAGAAAAGGGTATGAGATTTATTCCTTGTGTCCCGAACAATATTCATCCCATTATCAACATAAAAAATACAGATTGCATGATCATTGTTATGTTGCTGTTTGCTGAACCTATATTGGTTGCCATATTTCTTCCAACTATAGGGTTTACATTCGTGAGCTCTGAGACTTCTCACAGGTGTCTACCACTCTGCCTTAAGTGTCATGACTGTGACCTGGGTATGTCACATGCCTTGCTGGTCTCCACCATCTGGTATGTTGTCCTACTAACCTCTGTTCCCTGTCTTCATGTGTGTCAGAAAGAGTGATGTCAGTCACTAGATCAGTGAAAGATAATGGATTCTCACTTAATTTTGCGCAGTTGCCAAGTCATGATCTTGGGGTGTAGTGACTGGAGAGCACAACCACATTGAATTATAAGTGAGAGCTGTGGGGCACTGGTTTCCCTCACCCACACCTCTTTTGTCATGGGTGTGTAACATGACACAGGTCAGGACTACTCACTCTCACATTTCCCATATTGCTGTATTGGATCCTCTGCAGACTTTGAAATTAGGCTTTGAGCTCCCAAGTCCAGGTAATTTAGAAAAGGGCATCAAAAAAAAGCTGTGGTCTGAACAATATTGCTGTTTACTTCACTTCAAGCTGGAAAGAAATCATTCCTTATTACTTTCTGTTTTTTCTCCCTTAGCAAAATTTATATTCATGTTGTCACTAATTTTGATCACCAGTCAATAGTGAGGCATCTTTGAAAGTCTACATATGCATTAAGAACACTACTCTGTTTCTCCCTCTGTTACTTAATTAAAGATATACACTGAGAAGCCCAAACCAATGTAGTAATAGAATAACCTCTGCCCCCTTCAGCACGTTGGCCACCATTTGGTTGGATGATGGCACATCTGTGACCTAACTCCATGCATTCATCTTCACCCCATATCCCTTACTAACTTGGGCTGGCCTAAGTCTGTTGATTTTAATTGCAACAAAAACAAGAAGTGATGAAAATACTCAGCACGTCCGGCAGCATTTGTGGAGAGAGAAACTGTTTGTTTGGAATATGGCACCTTTATAGAATATTTAATTTCCATTTGCAAAAGGGTTCCACATTTCTATCACCATTTGGTTCTTGTTTAGATTTTGTCTCCTAGTCTAATCAGGAGAAACAATTTATCTCTATCTATATCTGTTTCCATTAATATCTTGGAAGATTTTGTTACATCATTCCTCAACCATCATTATTTCAGTAAATGCAATCCTACTTTGTGTTAGTTCACTTTCTGATTTAACACTTGGAGTCTTTCTGTCGTTGTGGTAAACTTATGCTGTGCTCTCCCCAAAGGCAGTATTCATTGCTGATATTTGGTGCCCAGAATTGAAAGGAGTATTTCATTCTGCTTCACATCAAAATTAAAGCAAAGTGTTCAGATCCTTGTAGAAACCAAAAGAAGAAAGGAGTTCTGAAACAAAAGGAGCTGAAGAGTCAAACACAATATTATTGTAAAGCTAAACATGCATTAGCTGACAAATAGTGTTTAAATGGAAATGGTATAATTCATTTTCACTGATAGAGCAAAGACGATTCACACAAAGCATCATCTGTCACCCCAAGGTCTTTTATTTGTAGGATGTCTCACTTTTCTTATTCACTGGATTTGGCTTTCATCTCAATTCCACCAACAATTCTGTTCCATCCAAGTTCCATTGATGCGATTAACACTGAAAGATCGCATGTCACTGGACTATATCCCTTGGATTATGACAGTCCTGATGGTGTAGCTTTCCTTTTCAACCGACCAATCAACAACACCTTGTGTTCATGGTGTGGTCTTCTCTAGTCCAGACATCAGCTTGTCTTTACTTGCTTGAGCTACGCACACAGCCTTAAGTTTCAGTCCTTTTCACTTGCTCGCACATTGCTTCACCAATAACTCATGTCTGATGTTTCTTCTGTCAAACAGAAAAACTGAACTTTATTGTAGAGACCTCTGCTTGCTCCTTCTAAATACAAGGGACATATGTAGCACAACAGGCTGAAACACAATACTTCAATCAGTGTCTGCCTTTTTCCAGTTACCTAGCTTTCCTTCTGTCATTTCTGTAGCAACCTTAATACATTAGGGACTTCTCAGAAGTGACCTCACAGGCAGAAATCCAATCATACTTCCCCTGTTCCAGAATTATTTTACATTCATTTTGGCTGGGGCATGTCTCAAAAATAAAAGCTACTTCCAGACTGCAGAGTTCATCACAAAAGCAATATCAAAATGTATCTCTCTTTGGCTTCTCTGAAAATTATTTGTAGCCACATAGCCCTGAAACTGTTAGAGTACTGCTTGTGAGATGCCCTGAGGGAACTAGCATTCATTCGTCATTACAGGAAACTGAAATTGCTGGAGAAATTCTGCAGGTCTGGCAGGATCTGTGGAAAGAATGCAGAATTAACATTTTGAGTCCAGTCATTGAATTTTTGAACATTTCAAAACATTGAAGGAAGGTCATTGGACTCAAAACGTTAACTCTGCATTCTCTCCACAGATGCTGCCAGACCTGCTGAGTTTTCTCCAGCAATTTCTATTTTTGTTTCAGATCTTCAGCATCTGCAGTTCTTTGTTTTATTCATTCATTTTTTGCTGTGTCACCATTTGCGTTGTTTTAGTGGAGAGAATACAAAGATAAACAGCCAACTGCCGCCAACCTAACCAGGAACATTAGAAAACATCCCTTGCAATTTGTGATGGCGCATCATCTTCTCCAATACATTGATGGTGTCAAAGAAATAATGGAACTCGGGCAAATTGTTTTTGTAGGTCAGACAATTTCTTGTTTTTTGCTGTTACGTTGGTGGGAAATGGTCAGGGTGTATTGTCTTTAATAAGTGTTGAGAGCCCCAGTACAACGGAATGCAGTTATGCCCTGCACCATACTCATCATCTCCCTTTGTCAACCCTTTTACCACCTCCCTTTCCCTCCCATTGTCTGTATTATTTCTCTCACATTGACTCATTCGCAGGACCATCCAGATCTTGCAACCGGTGACGTAACTTTCAATGATATCGTCACTCGCATGAATGCTGGCCGAAGGGGCTCACTGGCAGGTGAGTGAAGCTTGGTTCCCGATTTATCCATCCTTGGGTTATGGAAATTATGGCAGGTCTAGTCTGTCATCCCCAGCCCCAGTAACCTCGGAGCTGCGTTTGGACTACCTTTTATTCGATACAGCTGAGGGTCTCATTAGGCCTTGCAGTAAAGAATTACTGTGTAGGTCAGACAAATCAGGATGGCAGGTTTACTTCCCTCTCAGGCATTTGTGAACCTGTCAAATCTTTTGACAGTCTGGCAGCTTCGTGCGCATTTTTGCTGCTGCTAGATTTTTGTTTCCAGCATTTTTTTCTGTTAAAATTAAATTCAAATCTCAGATTACCATGGTTGAATTTGACCTCTACTTTTCAGGATTGCATCTCCGTCCTACCTGGCATGTGCGTGTCCAGCGTTTAGATGGTTTCCAGATGCCTGTATCTTACAGGGATAGTGGTGCTGATGCCAATGTCAATGTGGAGGAGACGTGGACTGGATGCCAGTATCTGTATCAGTGGAAATGATAGGGTCCCAGAACGAGAGTGTCTAGGTAGGGCTTCCTTTGTAGGGTGTTAGGAGCAGGGTAGGGTTATCTATGTGGGGCTAGAGATCTCTGGCTAATTTCAGTTGGGAAAATTATGTTGGATATTTTGACATTTCTATGTTTGATATGACAGCAGAAAGCTGCTTGGCTTGTTCTGTGTTTATGTTTTGATCTGTGTGTTAGTTAATGAAATATATTACCAATGGTGCACTTGGAAGCTTGGTCAGAAAACCAAAAACATCAGGGTGATTGTGTGGCAGTGTTGAGAAATCAAATCTTGATTGAGGAGTGCCTGACATCAACACTGTCTACATTCAGCAACAATTTTTAAATAGAGAAACTCGATGCTTTATAGAGACAGAGTTTATTTTGTATGTGTCTTTACAATGGTAGACACAAAGCATTTGAAGAATAGTAGGAAAGCAAAGGCGAACTTGAAATAATCATGATAGTTTAATAAAGTGTTGGGAAATCCAATAGATTAAAGGCTGCAAAGGCTATACTACCATTGCATGCACCTTAGGGTTTTAAAGGAAGTAGCTGCTGAAGTTGTAAATGCGTTGTTTATAACCTTTTAAAATTCTTAAGGTTCTGGCAAGGTCCCAGTGTTTGGAAAAATACAAACGTAGCTCCATCATTGAAGAAAGGAGATCGGTAGAAAACAGGAAGCGAGAAGCAATTTAGCATTACATGTGTTGTTGGGAAAATGCTGCAGTCTGTTATCAATGAGGTGTAGGTGGATGTTTAGAAAATCATGAGTTTGGAAGAGTCAACATGGTGTTGTGAAAGGGAAGTCATGTTTGACAAATTAACTTCATTGACGTTGTAACAAACAGATCAGACTGACAGGATGTCTCCGCTAAGAGTACCTGGAACTAGGGGACTCAGTTTCAAAATATTGAACTCTCCTACTTAAGACAGAAATGATGAATTCCTTTATGTCTAAGAATTGTTAATTTCTGGAATAATCTATTCCAGAGAGCAGTGAAGACTGGGTTGTTAAATATATTCAAGACAGAGTAAGACAGGGAAGTGGGAAATGGAGTTAAGATGAGACTCACGGCAGTCCAGAACTAAAAAGGATATCAAGGCAGAGGGCCTTGGGCAGGGAATTCCAGAGTCCAAGCCAGAGGGAGCTATTGATCTACTGCCAGAGAAAAGCAAGGATATGGAGGAGGGTTGAGTCAGAGGGAGAGAGATTCTGAAGACTTGGGTTGTTGCAGAGATACTTGCAGGGATGTGAAATGATTGAAACTCAATCATTGTTAATGGGGAATAGGAGAACCGCTGGTACTGAAGGGTTTGAGTCATAGAGAGAGGCTGGGGCTTCTTTCCCAGGCGTGTCGGAGGCTGAGGGAACAACCGTGCAGAGGTTTATAAAATCATGAGGGACGTGACTTTATAGAGACAGAGGTTGTTTTGTATGTGTCTTTACAATAATAGACACAAAGCATTTGAAGAATAGTAGGAAAGCAAAGATGAGCTTGAAATAATCGTGACAGCCTGATAAAGTGTTGGGAAATCCAATAGATTAAAGGCTGCAAAGGCTATACTACCCAATGGCATGCACGTTAGTGTTTAAAGGAAGGGTAATTAGCCAAGGTCATTTTCCCAGGGTGGGGGGGCGTCCAAAACTAGAGGGTATAGGTTTAAGGTGAGAAGGGAAAGATTTAGAAAAGGATCTGAGGGGTAACTTTTTCACACAGAGGGTGGTGCGTGTATGGAACGAGCTGCCAGAGAAAATGGTGGAGTCGGGTACAATTATAACATTTAAAAGATGGGTATGAATTGGAAGGATTTAGAAGGGTATGGGTGAAATACTGGCAAATGGGACTAGGTCAGACTGGGATTTCTGGTCAGTGTGGATGAATTGGACTGAAGGGTCTGTTTCTGTGCTGTGTGACTCTATGAATCTATAACTGTGCAGATCAGCAAGAACAAGCTATTCGCGTGTGTAAGTGGGACATTGCATTGGGCAAGGTACGAGCAAAGCTTTGCTGAGTTCAAATTCACGGAGGGTGGAGAATGGGAGGGCAACCAGGAGAACATTAGAATGAATGATGGTTTTGGTGGTTAATGGACTGAGCTGTGGGTAAAGATCTATAAATGAAGATTGGGTCTGATTTGGAAATGAGTGTTTTTGTTTTATGAGGGAGTGTATGTAGCTCAGCTCAGGGATAACAGGACCCTGAAGTAACTAAAAGTCTGATTTAATAGTAATCATTGGAAAAGCGGAGTGGGCCAGCCATAAGGGTACAGAGTTTGTATCTCCCTGTGTTCAGCTGGAAAAACTGTAGCTCTCGGACAGTTAGTAACGTCTCCTGTTGTGGAAGGAGCAGGTGAAACCATTGAGAATGAGAGTTATAGATCAGCAGAGTTTGGATGTTTTTGCATGGCGTTGCAAAGGAAAAGCATGCAAGTGAGAGAGAGGAAAGGCCAATTCTTGAGTTAACTGTGGAAGTGAAGTGAAATGGCTGAACTCAAAAGCAGTGTTCACATCTACCTCCCTGGGAACAGGCCCTGAACTCTGCAAGGAGGTGTGCAATTGTGGAATTAATGTTTTGTTCTCTATCCCAAAAAGCCTTATTAGATCTTACATTCCCAAAGAAACGAGTGAAAGATAAAGAGGAGAGGAAGAAAAAGAAACTCAAAGTGATAAAAACGGAACCAGAGGATTTGGCTGAGTCGTCAGGAGCTGAGGGAGGTACTGCAACAGCTCCTGAACAGCAGATTGTCAACAGACCAGTCTCTGCTCCTGAACAGTAAGTAACTTATTGTAACAGTAAGTAATTTATTAGATATTCAGACCCTTGGTCTGAGTGTGATGGAGCTTAGAATCCGACTCACATGAATGGATGCTGACAGATTTGTTGAGATGAGTGCATTCCCCCCTTTACTGAGCACAGACCCAATCTCAGCATCAAGAGTGTTCTAGCCACTCCATGGCTAGATTTCCCAAACAAAATTGATCAGTTGTGTGGCTGCTCACTGTGGATCTGTGTGCTGCAGGTAGTGTAGGGGGAATTGTGTTTTAACATCTGGATGATATCTGGAACTGTTACTGTTCTCTGGTATTTGAAAGGCCTGTTGTCTTTCCTGTGCCACTGGCAATTGGTCACACATCAAGGAGCTTGAAAGCCTGGGCAGACTTCCTCAATGGCATCTCCCAAACCCACATCCTTCATCTCAAAGGACAAGGGGACTAAGTGCACTGAAACACCGTCACCTCCAAGATCGTTCTTGGAGTCAAACTCCGTCCAGATTTGAACATATTTCAACATTTCAAATGTCACCATTCCTTCACTTTTTCACTCAATGGAAATCCCAGAAGTCCCTTCCTAATAGCACCGTGGGAGTACCACAACATTACAGACTTGTCCCACCTCAGGCTAGGGGGCTTCATACAGGCCAGACATGGCCACATCCCAAGAACAAACAAAGAAAGCTTTGTAGAATTCCTGAATTAGATGTGGACATGGGAACCAGAGAAATACCATTGACAGCAAGAGACACTGCCTTTGACAATTGAATTAAGAACGGCAGAGATTGGGGCAGGAATGAAGAGGTCAGTAGATGACACCAGATTATGCTGTCAACAAGGACAGGGAGAGCAATTTTAAAAGAGAGTTACAGAAGTTAAGAATCATTGGAAATGTGTGTTCAAGGAGGAATTAAAAATAGTAGAACATGACAGAGGTAGGAGTGAAGATGGGAGGGCTTTTAAAGACCCAATAGAACATATATTTAAGGATATGAAGTCAATGCAGGTGAACAAAGCAGTGAACAAGTGAGATTTGAGTAAAGGGAGAATCGTTCTTTGAGTGAGTTGGAATGCGATGGAGCTGAGAGAAACCAATTCTGGAGATAATCTGACCATCTTCTGATAGAAATGAGACCATGTTGGGTGGCACCATGGCACAGTGACTAGCACTGCCACCTCAGTGCCAGGAACCCAGATTCGATTCCAGCCTTGGCCGACTGTCTGTGTAGAGTTTGCACATTCTCCCTGTGTCTGTATGAGATTCCTCTGGGTGCTCCGGTTTCTTTCTTCAGTCCAAAGATGTGCAGGTTAGATGGATCGACCATGCTAACTTGTCCAGGTATGTGTAGGCGAGAAGGATTAGCCATAGTAAATGCAAAGTTAAGGATAGGGTGAGGGGTTGAGTCTAGGTGGGATGCTCTTCGGAGGCAAACTCAATGGGCCAAATGGCCTTTTTCCGCATTGTAGTGATTCTGTGATGTGAGGGGCAGCTAGAGAATGATGGCGAGGCTGTGGAAGATAGTGTACTAATGGGAAGGCCTAAGATCGAAAAATTGAGTATGATATTGGTAACATGCAGGTCCCATCCTCTCTCAAACTCAAAGTAGGCTTGGTGAAAATGAGTAGATTGTTAAACTCTGTCTACGTGGAGGCCCTTGAACTTGAATGCTTTGTGTATTTTGTGCAGGACTCTAGATGCGACGAAGCTGACAGCAGTTCCTGGGATCACAGGCAGTTTCTTTGGTTTGCTGCAGGAGATTTTACTGGCAGAGGGAGAGGCAAGTTTGTCTGGGGTAAGTGACACAATATTGACATTAAAGGTAACAGCAGCATCTGATTTCCAATGCTGTCTGCAGTAGTGTGCATTTCCTTTCATGATGTATCCTCAGCAAGGAAGAACTACCTGTCACAAAAGAAAAGAGCTATTACATTTCCATATAGTCTGCAAGTTACTGCACTCTCTTCATGTTCTTATTTTTGGTCATCATTATTATATTAAGGATATGCAGTCATTGGACAGAAGCTTTCCAACGATATCAGAAATATATGGATATACATTTCCTTTTCCTACTGTTACCCATCCACCTAGGGCTCTCCTTCCTCCCTTCTCTTAGTCATCCTCCCTTTACCCCACCCCATCCTCTATCTGCACTCCCTCATCCATACCCATTTCCCTGTCCTGTTCTTTCACTTTCTCTTCCCTTTGTTGTTCCCCACTCATGACCACTCTCAATTCCTTTCACTTTCACTGTCTTCCCCCAACCACCATGCCCCCCACTTCGTACCTTATTGTCTATTGTTTTTGTCGATTGCTGGTATTTTATGTCTTATATTTGTATATAGTATATGTTATTATGATGAGACAGAAGAGATAGAGACCAGGGCACGGGGATTGTCTCCAATACATTCTCACCTTGCAGTGTGTTTTTACAGATTGAGGAGAAAGTGCTTGAGTGGCAGATCTCAGCCCCCAGTACTCTAAACTCTTGGTTCTCAGATGCTTCCAACTGGTCAGAACTGGTTCATTCTGCTCTCCGCTTCCTTTCTGGCGAAGGTGAGAGTAAGTCTGGTTTCTCATATAGAGAGCGACTGTAATATATATGATTAAACAACATCTGAAAAATAATACATTGCTCACTTTCTTTCACTAATTAGAGTGGGTAAGATTTCATAGAATCATAGAATCCCCACAGAGTGGAAGTAGGCCATTTGGCCATTGAATCACACTGACCCTCCAAAGAGCATCTCACCCAGACCAACCCCCCAGTCCTATCCCTGTAACTTTGCATTTCCCATGGCTAATCCATCTAATCTGCACATCTTTGGCCTTCTTTTGCCCTTTCTTTGCAGTTCCCAGTTACACAAATAAGGTTGAGGTGATTGGAATCTCTTACAGGAATTAATCTAAGCTCTTCATTTTGACCTTCTCGTAGGTTGCCTACCAACAAGTTCCAATCAAGAGGTTCCATATTTTAGCTCATAAACTGTCGCCCCACTTGTGTAGTGTTTCAGCTGGTTTGATTTTTTTTAAAATTGTTGTTTCTTCCTTTGTTTCTTCACGTTGCATGTGGCCAACTGTTATCCAGCTACTCATACTTAGTCTAGACATTTTCTGTAATTTACACGTTACCATTTCCTTTGACCATGGGCACTGTCTGTGTGGCTGTTTATGTATCCACATTTACTGAGTGAGCTCGGCTCTTTGTACTGGGAGCACACATATACTCTGAGCAAATCCACATCAGCATTGGAGTATTTTTCTTATTCATTCATGGGATGAAGGTGTAGCTAGCCAGGCCAGCATTGATTGCCCATCCCTAATTGCCTAGATGGCAGTTGAGAGTTAATCACATTGTTGTCTGGAGTCACATGTAGGCCAAGCCAGGGAAGGATGGCAGTTTCCTTCCCTAAAGGACATTAATGAACCAGAGGGTTTTTTCTGACAATGGACAATGGATAATAGTCATCATTAGACTCTTAATTCCAAACTTCTTTTGAATTCAGATTCCACCATCTGCCATGGTAGGATTCGAACCTGTGTCCCCTGAACATTATCTGGGTTTCTGGATTAACAGTCCAGGCACAATGCCATTAGGCTGTTGCCTCCCCAATGTAAGTGAGTGCATGCATTTGGATGACTGAGAGGAACTTATTAGTCATGGTGTCATTGGCAGCTCTCACCCCTTTGAGTCCAAAGGTTCTGTGTTCAAGTCCCACTCCAAAACTCGGAAGGCAAGTCTAGGCTGATCCTCCAGTGCAGTCCTGAAGAATTGCTGCACTGTTCTAGCAGCTGTTTGAGACATTAGGCCAAAGCCTCTCCTACCCTGTCAGGTGGGTGTAAATTGTGCCATGCCACTGTTTGAAGAGGTGAGTTATCCCTAGCATGTTTACCTAGATTTGTCCCCCAAACAACATGGCTAAAATAAGTAATCAGATTATTCTTGTAATGCTGTTTGTGAGACCTTGCTGTGTGAAAATTGGCAGTTTTTTTTTATCAGTTCCAACATTGATTACACTTAAAAATTACTTTCATTGACTGAAAAGTGCTTTGAGATATTCTGTAAAAGGTGGGCTTTAGTAATGCTGTTTGGTTTTTTTGTTGACACACCAATGAAGATAGGACACCAGCACAGAAACAAACCTCCTCCCATCTTTCTTCACCTAAATCTACCATCATAATCCTCTATCTCCATCTCTTTCAAATGCTTATCTAGCTTCCCCTCACACCTTCCCATTATACTGTGCACTTCAACCTCTTCTTGTAGTAGCTGTTCCATATTCTTTCCACTTTTTGGGTAAAGAGTTTTCTTTGAACTCCTCCTTGGTTCTCTTGTTAACTATTTTAGATTGATGGACTTCCCACACAAAAGGAAATAATTTCTCTCTATCCTGTTTATCAATTTTAACAACCTCTGCAAGGTCATCCTACGCCTTTTTCCAGGAGAAAAGAACCCCCATCTTTCCAGCAAAGGTTCAGTTTCATTTTAGCAGGACATCCCTACTTTTCAGTCCATCCCTCTAAAAATAAAGCAAAGTTCTTGATTTCCTGTTGTATTGTCTTGCCAAACCATTCTGCAGTTTTTACTGACTGTAGCATGTGACCTCCGTATTCTCCTTAGCAAAAAGTACTAACTCACATTTATCTGTCCTCAGTTCACTTAGCAATTATTTGCCCATACAGAAGGTTTATTGTTGTCTTCCTAATGTTTTATACTCCCTCTGCTGCTGCTGCTGCATGTGGTCTTCACGCTGGATTTTTTTGGTGGTCAGAGGAGGAGAGAAACACTGAAGTAGGGTTTGGGGTCTAACTGTCCCTTGACAACACTTCCTCCAGAAACCCCTGTTTGGTAGTGGTGACTGCGCTGATGCAAATTTTCTCCCCAACTGCCAATCAGCGTTGTCGCCACCCTCTGCTAAAGCAAAAGGGGGAGGTCATGCCTGACAAATCTGTTAGAATTCTTTGAGGAAGTAATGAGTAGGGTAGAACAAGGAGAGCCAATAGATGTTATCTACCTGGGCTTCAAGAAGGCCTTTGACAAGGTGCCACATAGGAGACTGCTGAGTAAGATAATGGCCCATGGTGTTAGAGGCAAGGTGCTAGCATGGATAGAAGATTGGCGGTCTGGCAGAAAGCAGAGAGTGGGGATAAAAGGGTCTTTCTCAGGATGGCAGCCGGTGATAAGTGGTGTTCCACAAGGGTCAGTGTTGGGACCACAGCTTTTCACTTTATACATTAAAGATCGAGATGAAGGAACTGAGGGCATTCTGACTAAATTTGCAGCTGATACAAAGATAGGTGGAGGGACAGGTAGCATTGAGGAGGTGGGGAGGCTGCAGAAGGATTTGGACAGGTTAGGAGAGTGGGCAAAGAAGTGGCAGATGGAGTACAACGTGGGAAAGTGTGAGGTCATGCACTTTGGTAAGAAGAATAGAGGTGTGGACTACTTTCTAAATGGGGAGAAAATTCAGAAGTCTGAAGTGCACAGAGACTTGGGAGTTTTAGTCCAGGATTCTCTCAAGGTAAACTTGCAGGTTGAGTCAGTAGTTAGGAACGCAAATGCAAGTTTGGCGTTTATTTTGAGAGGATTTGAATATAAAAACAGTGATGTACTTCTGAGGCTCTGGTCAGGCCACATATGGAGTATTGTGTGCAGTTTTGGGCCCCATATTTCAGGAAGGATGTACTGGCCCTGGAGCAAGTTCAGAGGAGGTTCACGAGAATAGTCCCAGGAATGAAAAGTTTAACACATGAGGAATGTTTGAGGACCCTGAGTCTATACTTGATGGAGTTTAGAAGTATGGGGGGGATCTAATTGAAACTTACAGAATACTGAATGGCCTGGACAGAGTGGATGTTGGGGAGATGTTTCCATTGGTAGGAGAGACTGGGACCCGAGGGCATAGCCTTAAAGTAAAGGGAAGACTTTTTCAAACAGAGATAAGAGAAACTTCTTTAGCCAGAGAGTGGTGAATCTATGGAATTCACTGCCACAGAAGGCTATGGAGGCCAGGTCATTGAGTATATTTAAGATGGAGATCGATAGGTTCTTGGTTGTCAAGGGGATCAAGGGTTATGGGGAGAAAGCAGGAGAATGGGGTTCAGAAACTTATCATCCGTGATTGAATGGTGAGCAAACTTGATGGGCTGAATGGTCTAATTTCTGCTTCTATATCTTATGGTCTATGTCTTATGCTTTTGCATCCTCCTGAGTATTGACTATCCTTCTTGCAATTTGGCGCCATCTGCAAATGCAGAAATTATATTTGTGGTTCAATTGTTAATGAAAATTGTGAACATCAGTGGTTCCAGCGCTGATCATTGCAGAACACTTCTCCTTGAGGACAGAGATGAGAATTTTCTTTTCTTAGTGGGTTGTATGACTTTGGAGCTCCCTGACTCGGAACTTGGTGGAAGTGGGGTCATCGAATAATTTTAAAGGAGAAGCAGATAGATTCTTGTTAGGCAAGAGAATGAAAGATTATTGGGATAGATAGGAATGTGAAATTCGAAACTCAAACGTATCAGCGTGATCTTATTGAATGGCAGCGCTGGCTCAAGGGACTAAAGGGGATTCATCCCTCCCATTGACCAACCAGGTCATACCTACTACCAATGTCCACCTATCACCGCCATTCCACTACACCCCCTGCCCCCCCTCTCTTTATCTGCAGCTCCCCCTAAACTCCTTCTCGTCCTGAAGAAGGATAATACCCAAAATATTGACTGTTCCTTTCGTCCAGATGCTGCCTGGCTTGCTGTGTTCTTCCAGCCTCCTGTTTGTCCACCTATTTCTGCTCCTATTTTGTATGATAATATGTCTCACCTTCTGCCACTGAATAACCCCTTTAGCCACACTGTGTGCTTTCTGTCTTGAAACTACTGACAGTTCATTCTCCTACCTGTCTTCTTGACTCCACATTCTCGATCAGAATTCATCTACTGCATTGTTATTATCTTGTCTCTGTTGCCTTGTAGAAAAAAAATGTAGCAATGTTGCTCAAGCAAGATTTTCCCAATTTGAAACCCTTGCTGGTTATTCATTAGTATATTTCTTATTTTTCAATGTTCTTCTTTTGCCTCCTTTAGCAAGGATTCTGTTATTTTTTTCCCTACCTCTGATATTAATTTTAAGATGACTGATAATTTGCTGGACAGGTTCTGTCCCTGTTCTTAAATATAGGAATCACATGAGCTATCTGCCATTCTTCCATCTTGTTCAAACAAATTCTTAAACATGTGTAATAATGCCTTTGCTGTCTCTTCCCTAGATCTTCTACAACCCCTTTCTATTTTACGTGTATGAATTTCATCATTCACTGTAATGTCTTCCTGTTTTCCCTAATAGAAATATAATTGTTTCATATTATTGCCATCTGCCTGTGGTTACCTGGGAGCATTATTCAGTCTAGCCGTTTTCTCATCTCTTTATTCACGGGCCTATAAATTATTTCATTATTTTGTTTTATGTTCCATGGCAATTTAATTTCATCGTTCCTCACCGAGGATGACACGGTGGCTCAGTGGTTAGCACTGCTGCCTCACAGCATCGGGGACACAGGTTTGATTCCGGCCTCAGGTAACTGTCTGTCCAGAGTTTGCACGTTCTCCCTGTGTTTGTGTGGGTTTCCACCGGGTGCTGCAGTTTCCTCCCACAATCCAAAGGTATGCAGGCTAGGTGGATTAGCCATGGGAAATGCAGGGTTACAGGGATAGCGGGCTGGGTCTGGGTGGGATGCTCTTTAGAGGGTCACTATGGATTTAATGGGCCAGATGGCCTCCAAACACATTGTGGGCATTCTGTGATTCTATTCTTTACTTTATATTCTCTGTTATCCTGTACTCCCCTGACCACATAATCTAATGTTTGCCTCTTTCCTAATCCCCAACCTTTGCTTTGTGTATTTATTTACCTGTGGGCTTTCACTGATGTTTAGTTTAACCTTTCCTTGTATCAGTTCTTCCGAGCTGTTATCTGATAATGTAGCTTGATTTGACACAGGTGGAACGTCAGCACTTCCTTCCAACTTTGAGCCATACGTGAACTGCACAGAGCGAGGCCAGCAGTGGAAGTGGATAGGTGAGTCAGTGACAACCCAATTCAATTTGGGTTCAGTGTGATATCTTCAAAAGAAAGCTTTAGTTATAAGGGGGGCTGAATGACTACTACTTTTTCTATGTTCCTTAATACTAGCGCATTGTATATCTCAGTCTCTCACTTTCAAAGGTACTTCACACACACCTTACTGCTAAAGTGTTTTCCTTTCAGCCAACACTTTTGGTCTGTCACAATAATTGATAGACAGTGGAATCAGGGAGCTGCATCATATCTCCTGCCAATTGTTATTGAAGAAGAAGTTTCATTTAAATCTGTTATTTTGTAGTTGCTTGATTAGAAACAAAAGGGAGCATTACAATTTAACTATGACTAGAGAAATATTCCTGAATTCAAACAGGACCTATGATGTCAGAGTGCAAAGCAAAAACTTTAATTACATGCCTGCAAATGGGATTCTGGATTTTTGACAAGACATTGAGTATAAAGGCGAAGGAAGAGAGGGTGAAATTGCCCAAGGCCTTGGTATATTTCAGTGTAGTGTGGAGTTACAGGAAGGATTTTAGAATCATATGGTGTAGTGAAGATACACTGGAAGGATACCAGCACCAAGAGATTACTGTTTTAAAGAATGCTGGGAATTGTGACTTTATTTTAAACTGGTGAAGAAGAAAAAAAAAATCCAACATGATTCCAAAATCATGAAAGGCTTTGAAAGGTTTAAGGATAGTGAATCAATAACAAAGGGATACAGTCAGAAGTCACACGATACCAGGTTATAGTCCAACAGATTTATTGAAAATCACAAGCTTTCAGAGAACTGCTCCTGTGTCAGCACTTCAAAAGCTTGTGATTTTCAATAAACCTATTGGACTATAATCAGATATTGTGTGACTTCTGACTTAGTCTACTCCAATCCAATACCCATATCTCCGCATTAAAGGGACACGGAGTTAGAACTTTTCCATAAGAGGGTGTTATTAGATTAGGGAAAATATTGTTGCAATTGTGGCAAAAAATATATTATGCTAAGGATAGTAGGTTATGTAAGATTATAAAAGAACTGGGGATTAAAGTGGTCTGAGTGTTGTCTGTTGAATAGATAGCACCAAGAGATGCTCAACAGGCAGGTGTCCTCCACCTTTGCTGTAATTGCTGAGTTGCTTGGATTTATGAAGACGAGTTGGTTGCTCCTAGATCTGGGGAATTTCAGCTGCTGAAGGCACATTTGTATGATAGCTTGCAATTCTTTAGAATGGTTGAGCAGGTTAAAAGGGCCTATTGTCCCATTGCTTAATGTTCTTGTGAGAGAGAGATGTTTTGTGAATGTTGTCCCTCTCTCTCTCACCTGTGATGGAATTTTTGTCCCCAACCAGGTGATAAATAAATAAAAGGACAGTTGATGTTCAGCTGTTGCAGAAGAGGAAGCAATTCAAATGGTTAGCTAATTCGTAAAGCTTAACACTTCCTAAAAATTCTGCACTTGCTATTGTGTGGAACAAGTTGTTAATAGTGGATTTAATGTCAGAGGAGGTTCTTACCAGGTGTTTTGATGTAGACCTTGATCTTCACAGTTGGAGTCAGCCAGGCTTAGATTGTGATGAACAACCACTCGATCAAGAATTTGGGTCATTGAGGTTGAAAATATTGGGAAACCTCCTGGCCATAGTTCAGTTAGAAGCAGTTCGGAGAAGGTTCATTGACGAATTCCTGGATTGGGGGCATTGTCTTATGAGGAAAGATTGAGTCTATATTCTTTGAAGTTTAGAAAAATGAGAGGTGATCTTATTGAAATGTGCAAGATCCTGAAAGGCCTTAACAGAGTGGATGCTGAAAGGATGTTTGCCTTGCAGGAGAGACTTGAATTAGGAGGGCACATCAGCCTCTCCTATTTTAGAAGGATTTTCGTCTCTGAGAGCAGTGCAGGCATGGTTATTCAAAAGAAGGTAAACTGAAGTCAGATATAGATTATAGACTTAATAGGGAGTCAAAGGGCTGGGGGCAGCCAGGAGAATGTGTTGAGGCCAGAATCAGATTAGTTATGACCTTATTGAAAAGTGGAAAGGACTCAAGGGGCCTGCTTGTAACTTGTATGATTGTATGAATGTACACATGGTGAGCACTATTCCCAGTACCCTATAATAGAAACTATAGATCTCGTGTGGAAATCATGGATGAAGAGAAATCCTTCATCATTCAAATAGCTGGTAAAGATGACAATGGTAGGAAGATTAAAGGAAACCAGTTGCAATTTATTAACTGGTGATAATTGGAACTCCAGCCATAATACTTGTGATGCTTTGTGTTTCAACCTCATGGGGACATATCATCTTTTTCTGTTAATTGATCATACACCATTTTCAGGAAATTCTTTCTTTTGCAAAGATAGGCAAGCCATAGTTGCAATTACTGAGGTCACAACAACTGTCAGAAAGCTCTCTGGGTCCTGCACTACTTGCAATGAATATTTGCAGACACTGACTAGCAAATAAATGGGAAAATTGCGATACCTACCTGTTCATTAATCATAACATCCTGGTCAATTTTGTCTAGGTTCTGGGCGGGACTCTGAGAAGGAAATGACCTCGTTGTGTCAGCTGTGGTTCGAGGTCAAGGATCAGATATTTCCCAAGGTACAGCTACGTGTATCGAACAACTGGAAGGTGGGATTATACTGAATAGCTCATTCTCTGCCTGCACAGAAACACAATGGGTTGAGTGACTTCCTCTACCATCATCTTATGTCCCTATGATTTACTCACACCTTTGTTTATCTCATAATTCCTCACATAAATAGAAAATTCTATTCAACTCATTGTGACAAAGGATCACTGGACTTGAAACATAAGCTCTGCTTTGTCTCCACAGCTGCTACCAAACCCGCTGAGTTTCTCCAGCGATTTCTGTTTCAGATTTCATCATCCTCAGTTCTTTGTTCTACATTGTTGTAAAGTACAAGATCAGGGAGTATCGCAAAATTTTACTCTGATTGTAAATAAAATCAGAAGCTGGTTGTTCAAGCCACTCCACCATATCTGTTTGATGCATTTATTGTGCGCCATTGTGTTAGACTCTGCTAGAGTGAGTGTGCCTTGGTTTCCAGGAATGTGTATGAGCAGTTCCAAATCCAGTGGGCTGACAAATCTTTTGAGCTTTGGATCAGGATTAGAGGTGGAATTAGGGAGGTTTCAATGGAATCAATAAGAAATACCTCAATAAAAGGGAGGCTTCAGTAGAATACACGGACTTAATTTGAGGCAGTTCAGCAATGTACATATGTATATCATGCAGTTAATTCCAGGTTAAACAGGTTAAGGCATTTAGTACTACAAGGCATATGGGCCCTGTCAAAAGTCCTGCAATAGTACTCCAGGTTTGTTTTCTAGCCAAGCTGTTCCAGTGCAGCTGCAACACTGGCATATAATCAGTCAATGTGGAAAATTGTCCAGGGATGTTATGTCCATGATGTTATGTCTCACGTACTGATTAGCTGCAAATTAGTGATTTTTTTTTTCCCCAGCCTCTCAATGAAGCCTCCCTCCTGTGTTGGGGAAGCCAAGCGGAGGCTTGGAGACAGCTTTGTGGAACATCTATGCTCGGTTCATGACAAACAACTGCACCTCCCAGTCGTGAACCATTTCAACTCCACCCCCACCTCCACTCCTTGGACGACATGTCCATCCTGGGCCGCCTCCAGTGCCACAACGATGCCACTCGAAGGCTGCAGGAAGAGCATCTCATATTTCGCTTGGGATCCCTGCAGCCCAATGGTCTCAATGTGGACTTCACAAGCTTCAAAATCTCCCCTCCCCCGATCTCATCCCAAAACCAGCCCAGCTCGTCCCCGCCTCCTTGACCTGTCTGTCTTTTCTCCCACCTATCCGCTCCTCCCACCTCACTGACCAACCCCCACCCCCACCTCCTACCTACCAGCCTCATACCCGCCTCCTTGACCTGTCAGTCTTCCCTTGACTGACCAACCCCCATCGTAACTCTCCACCTACACTCATCTTTACTGGCTCCATCCCCGCCTCCTTGACCTGTCTGTCTCCTCTCCACCTATCTGCTCCTTTATCCACCTTCCATCCGCCTCCCCCCCTCTCTCTCTTTATTTCAGAGACCCCTTCCCCTCCCCTATTTCTGAAGAAGGGTCCAGAGCTTTCCTGCACCTCTGATGCTGCCTGGCCTGCTGTGTTCATCCAGCTCTACACCTTGTTATCTCAGACTCCAGCATTGGCAGTTCTTGCTATTTCCTGTGTCTTGTGGGTTCAGGTTCCACACCAAAATTTGAGTGTAAAAATAAAGATTGACACTATTGTACCCTGTTTCAGGCAGTGCATTAATTGAGTCTCCATCTATGCTCTCAAGTGGACCCTAAAAGTCCCATTTCAAAGAGGAGCATGAGTGAGATTTGTCACTAAAAGAACACCACAAAAACAGACTATCTGGCCATTATCATGTTGTTGTTTGCAGCAACTTGCTGTATTTAAATTGCAAAAGTGATGACCTTCTATAAATTACTTCGAGATGTCTGATGGTCTTGAAACACATTATTCAAATGCAAGTCTTTCTTTCTACTCTCCATTTCTGCCCACTTTATTTTAATAAATTATTTGCTGTGTTATATACTTGGTTTGATTTGCAACCTGCCTTTCTTCTCAGATGATCAGACACTGTCATTACTGGACTGAATCTGGCTGAGGGTTAATTTTGGGTTTAGATTCAAGCGCACTGTGACAAATTACTTCTCTCTGCTACAGGAATCTGAGGAACTTCCAGACATCATACCCCCAACGCCGAGGGTGTAAGTATCACTTAATTTATTGTAGGTTCAAAGATCTGAAAATGAAAAAGGAACTGTAAATTGTGATGTTATTAATGCTGTGGAAGTGATAAAAGTGGTGGTGAGATTGTGCTCATGTGGAATTGTATATTTCTTCTTTTTGTGATTGATTCATAATTGCTGTGTAGGAGCTGGGCTTATGGTGTATTCAGTGCTGGTCAATTTGAGGTTTATGCTCAAAACATTTGCTTCAAATAAAGTCAATATTTTAAATAATATGAAATAAGTGCATGAAATGTGAAATATTTACCAATTGAAACTACTTCCTTTTCTGCACACTATCGGGAATAATTTGCTTGAACAGATCCTGGGTAGCTGATGATTATTTGGCAGATATAGTCTGCGGTATCTACAGAAACCATCAGACTGTTTATTCCTGGTCAGATTAGTTGCCTTTCATCCAAGATCTCTTGCCAAATCCCAATGTGGGGATAGAAAAGGGCCATCTTCATTCATGGGGTATGGAGAGAATCTGAGGTAATGATGAGTGGACACGATTTTGGAAAATGATACTGTGATGGAGTACCTTCCCTGGGTGGTTATCCAATGAGGGGTGCAATTTTGGGGTTTAGTGTCAATGATTGGACTTAGTTTTATTGAGCCCAGCTGGTTTCTCTGAGTGACTGACATTTGTTTGATATTAGGAGAACGGATTATGTGGTGAGACCCAGCACTGGAGATGAAAAGCGTGTCTTCCAAGAGCAGGTGAGAATCTGGAATGAAGTGAAATACTTATATACTCTCCAATCTGTGCAGCACTTACACAATCCTGGTTACAGAATGTCACAGAACATTCTAAAGCGTCCAGCTGTAAACTAAATTGTGGAATGTATTTGTCCCTATTCCCTTGAAGCTGCGAGCTGGTCAAAAATTAACTGGTTCTCATTGTATCTGTTTGCTGAAGCAATATTACACACAGAATTGGGTATAGTTATAAGAAAACTGGCTGGAGTAATAATGGGATTTGACGTCATGGTGTTCCTCAGCTTGAGGTGACCGTAGAATTGAATGAGCAGTGTTGCTTGATTCCAATTCCTACAGAAAGGGAACTCCCTGTGTGGACTAGATCAGCTCGGGGTATACCACTCAACATAAGATCATTAAATAAAAAGCAGCCAGGAGTAGACAGGATAGTCCATTGAGCCGCCTTTGCCATTCGTCATGATCATGGCTAACCTTCAACTTCAACTCCACTCTCCTGTACACGCCACGTATCCTTTGATTTCATAAGAAGCCAAAAATCTGCATATCCAGCCTTAAATATATTCAATGTTGGTAAATCCACCAATCTCTGATGTCGAGAATTGCAAAGATTCACTACCCTTTGTGTAAAGAAATTTCTCCTCCTCCCAAATGTTTGCCCCATATCCTGAAACTGTGCCCCTTTGCTGTCGATTCCCCAGTCACAAGAATTTAAATTAGTTCAGCAGGAGGAGGGGGAGACAGTATTTGTACAATAGGGACGCAGCGAACTTTAGTAAAGGAACCAAGACAGAGAAAGATAGTAGGAACTGCCAATGCTGGAGAATCGGAGATAACAAGGTATAGAGCTGGATGAACACAGCAGGCGAAGCAGCATCAGAGGAGCAGGAAAGCTGACGTTTCAGGTCTAGACCCTTCTAGACC